CTGGGCTCCTCCTGCTGCTGCGGCTCGGTTCCGTGGCTGCAAAAAACAACTCTCGGTTGGAGACAATCAGCTGAGAAACCCGAGCATTTGAGGCGCTCGCTCCGCACCGTGGGCTCGCGCCGATTGGCTCAGGCCGGCACTCCCCCTGAGCGCCGCACTCGGAAGGCCACTGGCTGTCGGACCTGTCATTCCAGAATCCTGATATCTAATTGGGCTTCTGCTTGGCCCGCTTTCTCCCCCCGCCCCACTCGCCTCCTAGGCTGCTGATTGGCCCAGCAACTGCTCGGCCCGCTGGCGCCCGCGGGAGGACTCCGTGGTTCTGTCACCTGGGGCAGCTTGCGCACCGCCTCTCCCGCTTCCCATTGGTTGGAGATTCCCTTACGTAAGGAGCACGAGGAGAAGGCGGAGCTTCTTTTTTTTTTTTTTTTTCTTTGGGCGGGGGAGGCCGATTGGGCCGCGGGCTGGGAGGGTGCTTTGGTAGGGTAAGTGCGTGCGACCTGCATCGCGGCCGCTGTCCAGCTCCGGCCTCCACGCGGTTCGGTCCGGTCCCCGCCCGCAGGTGCCGCGCGCGGGTCTCTGGCAGGTAGGTGGCTGCTCGTCTTTCAGGCGTGGGCTGCGGCTTCCGCGTGCAGGAGTGGGCAGCTTTTCCTCTGGCGAGCGCTGCACCGCCAGCCTGGGTTGTGGGGCGCCGAGGGGACCGCAGCTGGACGCTTCCGCGGGGCCCTGGGCTGTCATTTATTTCCCCTGCTGTGCGGGTGAGGGGAGGGCATGAGGTGGGTGACCAAAACTCAGCAAAGACCCTTTCCTCGCTCGGGAAATGACCGTGAAGGACAGGTGGTGCTGGGATGCTGAAGCGACCTGTGGATAGGGGAGAGTTGGTTCTGTGAAGCAGAATTTGGCAGGATGCTCAGGAAATAAGTTTGGGAGACAAGGTAGAAACAGAACTGCAGTCTCTGGTGATTGTCTAGAGAAGAAAAGTTTCTGCTCTTTAAATTCCACACGTGCTGACGCCCCAGTCCTGTTTTTAGGGGATGGTGGCGCTCTTCCCGGGACTGAGAGGGGTACAGTATAAATGCTATATAATTTTTCTTTTTTCATTATCATCATCATCATGATCATCATCGGTCTCACTCTGTATTTCAGGCTGGCCTTGAGCTCCCTACCTACCCCGGGCTGGTCTCGAACTCACAGCAGTCTCCTGTCACTCCTTCAGAGTGCTGGGATTACAGACGTGCACCACCATGCCCTGCATAAATGCTATGTTCTTATACTGCTGTAAGTAAGAAAATAAAAAAAGCCAGATCTCACAGTTATATTGGATCAGCACATATTTGTTGATTTCTTTTGTATTTGGTAATAAAATGAGCAAAATAGTGCAGAATTAAAGAGGAAATAGTTGCTGGGTGTGGTGGGTCATGCTTGCAGTTCCTGTTGCTTCAGAGACTGAGGCAGGAGGATCTCAAGGTAAAGGCCACCTCTGGTGATTTAGAGCCCATTGCAGACATTTTAAACGGGATGAGAATGTAGCTCAGTGGTAGAGCTCTTACCCATCCTGTGTGAGACCCAGGGTTCAATCCCCAGTACGGTAAAAATAAAATAAAATAAAAAATAATTTGTATTCTTAGAATGAACAGCTCGACACACATTTGGTATTCTTGTTCTGGAGCATCCAAGATCCAGCCTTTCCTAACTCACTATCCTTTCTCCTGTTGCGTAGACATCCTCAGATGAAATATTCAGCCGGGCAGATTGAGCGGAGCTGTGTACACTAGGGTCCAACTTACTGTAAGAAGCTAACAGGCTTAATCCAACATCTGCGGTTTGCAGAAGAATCCCATGTTTCTTGGAATTTAAGAGTGTTACAGGGCGGGAATATAGCTCAGCGGCATAAGCGCCTGCCTGGCAGGTGCAAGGTCCTAAGTTTGATTCCCGGTACCAAAAAAAAAAAAAAAAGAGTGTTACATCTTGGATTCTAATAGAATAAAGTTAGAGCAGTACACAGTTCTCTTTAAGTAGGGGATGGCGTGTCCATGACAGCAGTAGGGTAACTGATTGTAGTTGTATGCTTAAGCAGTTAAGTTGAGCATAAAATCAGTTGTGTGATTTTAAGTACTTGTCAAAATTACTGGTATCACTAATTCTCTGGTATGGTCAATATGTGCATCCTCAGTAGTGCGGTGCAAATTTTCAGGTCATAAGTAGGTATCACAAAGAGATTTTCCCCCCTCTTTTTGCTCAAAGTAATGGTAGACAACATTGGATAGTCCCTATATAGATTTTATATCTTTGCTTGTGAGTCTGTTTTCCTCCATGTGTGAGAGAATTCTGGACAGCCTCTTCCTTCTTCCCTTTTTTCGGGGTGAGTACAGTGGTACCTCAGTTCATGAACTCAGTTCTTTCCACAGTTCTGGTTGCAAATCAAATTGGACAAAAACTGAATCACATTTCCCCATAAGGTCAACATTGAACCCAACGATGGAATTTCACTGGGCTCTCGCAACCAGAATCTTAGAAAGAATCAAGCTCATGAACCAAGATATCATTCTGTATGGGGGCAGGGAAGGACGGACAGATGGAGGATTTGGTTCCTATCTGCTTTGAAGGACTCCAAAATAGAGATAAGTTGACTCCTTTTATTACTCTCCTTCAGCTCATAAAGAAGCCAGGATCTAATCAACATTTTATTTGACGATGGTTCAGTGAGCACCAATAGTAGCATGAAATCGTAAGTAAGCTAATTTTTGATGGAATGTTCTTACAGGAACTTTGTAAGCATTATATGCCCCATTTGCTGCAAAATATGAAAAGTGTCTTTTCCCAGAGAATGGTGCCCACAGATCTTGATATAATTTATTTAGTAGTTTAGTTAACTTCTTTTTCTTGACAGAGAAAACCATTAATTTTATAGTTAACCATAAAGAAATTTTAGGCCTATAAAGGAGAAACTCATTAAGGGTTGCCTAGAAAAGCTTGGCCAGACGTGCTAAAATTTAAATGTATCCAAATGCACAAAGTTTGAGTATTTTTTTTTTTTTTTGAGCACGAAGATTACTCTAGCACAGTAGGCTTTCAGGCATTTAAAAGCAGAAAATCTGTATATTATCGTATATAGGACTCAACCCTCCAAAATGGGATTGGACTAGGTAAGGGTACCTTCTGGTTGTTCCGTGTGCCAAAGGAACACATAAAGGCAAATCCTCACTTGTGTTCTTATGAACAGGAAGACCAATATTTTTGCTTGAAGTACTTCCTCCTTTATGCCTCAGCGGAATTTCTTGCTGTTCTGTTGTTGAACAACAACAACCCCTTTAGTTGTCCTTTGCATTTTACTTGCAAGCACTCTTGCCCAGGGCAAGCTGCAAGTTGTGCATTCTTTCCGTCTTTTATTTATTTATTTATTTATTTATTTGGCTTTGCTGAGACAGGGTCTCGCTATGCAGTTCAGGCTGGCCTTGAGCTCACTTTGTAGCCCAGGCTTGTCTCGAATTTGCAACGATCCTCCTGCCTCAGCCTCCTAAGTGCTGGGATTATAGGCATGCACCACCACCTCTGGCTTTCTTTCCATCTTTTAAATGATTTTTTTTTTTTTGGTTTTTCTCCGGTACCGGGAACCGAACTCACGACCTTGCGCTTGCCAGGCAGGCGCTTTTTGCCGCTGAGCTAAATCCCCAGCCCCATTTTAAATGATTTTTTGCATGTATGCCTCTGGACAGCTGAGGCAGGAGAATCACAAGTTCAGGCTAGGCAACTTAGAGACTTAGCAAGACCCTATCTCACTAGAAAAAGAAAAAGGGCTGGGGGCTAAGTGTGAAGGCCCTGAGCTCAGTCGCCAGCACAGGGTGCAAAAAGACCTTTTCAGTTACTTCCTATGTGTGACATCTGATTGGTGCTTATTGGAGCATCATGCTGAAGAATCGGAGGCCCTTCCCCAGGCTGCAGTTGTCTGTGTGCAGTACTGGCGCACATGCCGCGACTCCCGGTTGTCTGTGACTTCTTCCTTCTTTTGCTGTTTCATCAGTTGTGGTAACAGTCAGTTGCACTGTAGTCATGTTTCCTTCTAGAATCTTCTTACTGTGTTGGGTCAGTTTCTTATGAACTTTTTGAAATATCCTGCTTTTAGATCTAGAAAATTTTATGTGCAAGTACTCTCCTCTTACCCATTAATAGGAGCTGATGTGCTATTAGGGCTAGGGTAGGTTGTATTGAGATAAGAACCTCAAACCTTTAGGAACTTATTTATTTTTTTAATTTTATTTTTTTTTCCCCTTTCGGAATTTAAAACAAAGTTTATTTTGAGTTACCCTGGGTCATCTAGGATCTTTCCGGGACTTTTTGACTGACAAAGACTTCATGTTGAATGTTACTGCTCATCAGAGCAGAGGGAAAGCACGTCAAGATTCTTAATTCGTGTAGTCTGATTTAAGAATTTTCACAAGTTGCCACTTTGCATATTTCATTGGCCAAATTAAGCCATGGCCATACATAACTCAAGGAAGGAAGTGGAGAAGTACTGTATAATTTTAGCACATATACAGAATTGGAAACATTTGGGCAGTTCAGCCCTCATGTCATCCAGGCTCTGTAGCAAGCTCAAAGTCCAGCATCTCTGAATAATGTCCACTCCTGGCAGTTCTTTACCTGGTCTGCATATAAGTTTTGTGTTCCGCCCCCTGTTGAGTACATAGAGTAGTGTAGAGACATATAAATATTTCTCTTTGGAGGAGAAAGGACGACACACACACCGGACTGTGGACTGCAGCAGTCTACAGACGTTGCCGGAGGTCTGCTCTTGTTCTCTGAATTCCATAGGCCAGTTTAAAAAAAGCCAATCAGTTCCAATATTTGGTAAAGACAGTAAGAATGAATTGTGACAAAAGTGAAATAAACAACTTATCACTATTGCGAGGACTTAGAGGCTGGACCCACAGTTGCCCAGTAATTAACTAAAAGCAGGATGAGGTGTGGCGTTTCTGTTTTCGTTTTATACGTCTCCCTTTGGGCCTCAAAACTTGAAGTCAGATTTCTGTTCAGCTCCGCACATAGGCTTGTTAATCTCTTAAGTGTCTATATTACAAGGTTTATTGACCCTAAATTTACCCAGCCTGTTTCCTCCCCCTTCAAGGTTAAGGACGTAAGGTAAAAGCAACTAATTTTCAGGATTTGCAGGAGCATCTGAGTGCCAGCTTTTAGACTGTCCAACTTTTAGACCCCCCTGGAACAATACCTGGAAGTCTCCAGCCATTATCCTAGACCTGTGATCGCCTGGGATTCTAGGAAAGGTAGAGCCTCACAGACCACCCCGTGGTGAGCCTCCTCCCCAACAGCCGGAGCACTGACCTCCTTGGAACCGAGGCTTCCTTCCCAAGTCAGTAGCCACAGTCTCAGCTAGGAACTGAATTGTCCCCTGAGGCAATGACGGCTCTTCCAGGACCTCACGGAACCCATCCTGAGATACTGATCCACTAGCCCAGGACCTGAGCAGGACTACCTACGTATGCTGCCAGCTGTGCAAACCCTCAACGCTTGCCTTTGTTTCCCTTTTCTATAAAACCCCAAAGTTTCTGTCGGCCTCGCAGGGACAGATCTTGAACTACCTTGTCTATGCTTCCCAGCATGGCCACACCACGTGAAGTTCCTTTCCTGCCCTTGCGCTGCTTGGCCCATTGGTAGGGTGGGATGGGTGGCTGGCCTGGTCTGTTGAGCCCAGGACTTTTTTCCTGGGACTCTGGTAACTACAAGCCTAATTTAAAAATTAGTATTAGATTCAACAGACACAAAATTCCTGTTTGAAATTGCTATAAAAACTTCTGAACACACTCTGTTTCTATACTTAGCTCATTGTTGTGGACCAGTAGCAAACAGTTCTTCTCCTGCACGCACTGGAGCAGTTCTCCACGGTCTTTGGCTTGGCTGCATCTGATACTGGCCTTGGAGAATATGACCTCTTTCCAAGGCTGAGCAGTTTGGTCAGCATGCTTATGACCATAGAAGGGTGGGAGCCTGAAGGTTTTAGGTTTTGAACAGCTAGTCTTTTTAAAAATTTTTTATTTTTTGTGTTTTTGAGACAGGGTCCTGCTGTGCAGTTCAGGCTGGCCTTGAGCTCACTTTGTAGCCCAGGCTGGCCTCAAACTTGCAACAATTCTCCTGCCTCAGCCTCCTGAGTGCTGGGATTACAGGTGTGTGGCACAACTCCCAGCAATGGCTAGTCTCTTGGAAGGCATTTCTTCTTGGAGAATCTTTAAGACCTTCTTAAAACCAATAGCAACCAGCACACAGTACTCATCGGTCTTCCAACTTCTTGTCCTAGTGCTAGAATTAAGTCCATTAGCCACAAGAACCTAGCCCCGCCGTCACTTGTTGCAACAGTTCTTTCAAATGTTTTGTCACTTTTGCAGGTGGGTCACTTGCTGAGCTCTGGTCTCTGACACACGTTTTCTTGAGTTGGCCAAGAACAGTTTATGTGCGGTTTGGCCCCTGACCCAGTGTTTTGGAATTTTTGTTAGGGCAACATCTGGTTTCTAGTTTGCATACCACTGAAGATAGACTAGCTAATTACTCCTAAAATCTTGGTGGCTTAATAGAACACAATTTGTTTCTTCCTTTTGTCACATACTCATCACATGCCACCCGAGGGTTCCTTGTTGTACTTGTGTGACAGAACAGACGCCATGTTTGCATTTCTGATGACTGGCAGAGTAAAGCGTGTCGTGGTACACTAGCTGGTAAAACTGTTTCCGGGAGGAGGTAAGCCTCTTCCTCTGGTTTTTTCGGCCCCAGTTAGTCACATGGTATCGGTGATAACTTGGAGGGGGGAGGGAGGGCGGAGGTGAGTCTGACATTACACCTGCCAGAGAACTGGAACCACACCAAGGAGTGTCACAGTTCTTTCTCCCAAGGCACTCATCCCTTTGTCTCGGTATTTGGATTTTTGAAGCATTAAGGATTGCTTTCTATTTCCTATGATAATTGTTGAAGAAAAAGGAAAAATTCATCAAATACCTTCTGTATCTTTGTTTTCACTTTGTTCATGTTAATTCCCCCCATCCCCTTCTCTTTGAAAATCTTTCTAGTACATGTGCTGCCGAAATGAGCGCTGAAAATCTTTTTATGAAGAGAATATGTCTCTGGGCAAATGCGACTTATTTTCCACATATGTGGTGTCTTGTCTTCTAGACCTTATCGGGTGTTTTTTTTTTGTTTTGTTTTGTTTTTTGTCTTTTTGAGACAAGGTCTCGATATGCAGCTTGCGTTGGCCTTGAGCTCACTTTGTGGCCCAAGCTGGTCTGGAACTCACGACGATCCTCCTGCCTCAGCCTCCCAAGTGATGGGATTACAGGCGTGTGCCACCATGCCTGGCTTAGACTTTGTAGGGTGAATTGGATTAATTGAGTAGAAGCTATGGAAGATTTGATTATATACAAGTAAGGGCTTTTGAAATAAAAATGAAAAGGTACACTACTTAAAAAATGGTTCTGTAAGGCTTCACAAGTTGGAATTGCCAATTTTTACTCCTTCAGAAGTAAAAATTACTTCATTTACTTTCAACTGACAGTTACTTTCAACTGCCCCTTTTGGCACTGACATTCCTGTTTCCAGTAAGTTTGGGTTTTGATTTTGTGAAAAATGAAAACTTAGTTCTCTTTCAGCCCCTTTCTCAGTCTAACTGTGTGATCCTTACTCTGTCTCCTTTCTCTCATCTGACCTGTGCTGTATTTTCTGCTTTAAGTAGTTTTTACAATAATCAAATATAATAGAGGATGGAGCAAGTGGTAGAGATTACTGCTGAGTTCCTGTCTCTGCAAGTGTGTAGGAATAACCACCAGTATCTTCAGCCGAGCAAAAGCACAGTACCTTCATGTACATACCTAATTTCATTTGTCCCATGAGATGGAGAACATGGTAAAGTACTCAAGCACTGGATGTGTGGTTCTACCTTTTGGAATACAAAATACGTGTTAAGAGAAAATGTGTTAACCCTCGTGTCCAAATTAGTATTAAAATAATTGACTTATAACCTCAAGGCCAGGAAAAATATTTTGTATTTGAATCTTTCAGTTGTGCTTTTACCTAATGTGTTACAGTTTAATTATAATTATTTTATAAGATAATGAATGTTATATAGTTATCCTTATCCTTATCCTTGAGAGTGCATGCATTTCCCTCTGGAATATGAAGAAAACAGTGGATGACTATTTTAAAACATCCCCATTAATGTAGGATGACTTTATTTATTTATTTATTTATTTATTTCCCGGTACCAGGAATCAAACTCATGCCCTTGCACTTGTCAGGCAGGAGCTGTGCCGCTGAGCTAAATCCCCAGCCCCTAGGATGACTTTAAAATAGGCAGGTTTGAAATGGCTATAATGTATAATCACTTTTAATGTCAAGGATACCCTTTAATTATATCATTAAAATTACGTTTTAAGATATATTGCACCATTGTCACACCTAATTTACCTAGTTTTTGAACATTTGACTCATCATTAAAAATTGATAACAAATTTGTTCACTATTTGATAGGAGGGAGCCCTAAAGAATGAAATTATCAGTAAGTAATCAATAAAGACTTCGAATTTTTTTTAGGAATACCTGCTCATGGGCCAGGGATATATAGCTCAGTGGTACAAGCACCTGCCTGGCAAGTACAAAGTCCTGAGTTCAATTCCCGGTAATACAAAAAAAAGTTGTAAAGGAATACCTTCTTAGTAGTGAGGAGTGTTATGTGCTTATTGACAATATTGAATGATCAGAGTAAGAATTCAATTTATTGTGATTTTTCTGTAATTGCTTTTATCATTTTACTTATTGAAAAACTTTACCTATGTTATAGGTGTATGGAAATATTTTTGGTATTTTTTTCTATCCTATTTTGAAAAAACTGTATGCATTTGAAAGGTATGGGTCCTGTTTGAAAAAAATTAAAATTCTCACCAATTCCTGTGAGTATATCAGGCAATGTATTTTTTATATTATACTAATTTTCCTAAACTATCTTCTTTTCATTTTAGATCTATAGATCATCAGTAGAAAAACATATTGAAGTTGTTCAAGAAAAAGTTGAAAATAGCGAAGAAAAAGAAGACAAAATTAATAGCAGATCCAGAGGGCAGGATAGAAGTAAGTACACTAGGAAGAAGGTAAGAAGAGGAGGTCTAAACCAAAAGATCAGCAGAACTGAATTAACACATGAGTTGAAAAAGATTTAAATTTTTAAATGGTGTGAAGAAATCTTGGTTTGGTTTCTCTCCAGTACCGGGAACCGAACTCACGACCTTGCGCTTGCCAGGCAGGCGCTTTGCCACTGAGCTAAGTCCCCAGCCCTGGTGTGAAGAAATCTTAAGTCTTAAGCATTAAAACGCATGTATATTTGAAAAGAATACTCCTACGTAGTTTGTAACAGGTATCTTCTCGGGATTTAAAATAAAAAGAAAGTAAACATATTAGACCTATATTTTGGATGTTTCACCCCATCTTAACCGTGTTAAGTAACTGAGTACTGTAAATTAATTGTAGGTAGGTAGAACAAAAGACCCAGTTCAAAAAAATGGGTTGGATAATATTTGAGAATTAATTTTAGAATCATAGTAAAAATATTTGTTCCTACCAAAACATTTTCAGGTACTATATCTTTGATTTCTTTTGCAGTTATAAAAAATCAGGAGTTATCAAATTAATGTCATTGTATGTCATGCCCTTCAAGTTTTTACTAACAAGGAAAGAGTAAAGTTCTAGTGAAATCAAATAACATAAGTAATGATTTAACTTTTTTTTTTTTAGATTTAACTTCATTTAACAAATCAATTGAATAAAACTTTGTTGGACACTTCCTTGGAACTAGGTGTTGACCTAGGCACTGGGACACATCATCAGCTCACGTACAGCTACGGCTGATAATGCCGTCTGGCTTCAGTGTGTTTAGCATTGGGGTCTCTTGTGTTGTCATGTGCATTTTGTGCACGTCAGCTGAAGACCCTGTGCCAGAACTGAGTCCTCAGAAGTATTTCAGTGCACTGCAACCAGGAAAAGCCTCTTTGGCTTATTTTTGTCCCACTGGTAAGTGCTTTTGAAGTTTTCATATGATTCTTGCCACGTTTTCCTCCCTGTTCGGTGCGTATGCTCAGTAGGGACTTACTGTCCTGAATAACGGTGCCTGCTGTACAGCTGTCGCTGTAGTCCGCCTGCCTGGGTCAGTCCAGACTCTTCTGTCTGGCCTGCAGTGTGGCCCTGGTCAAGTCACTTAGCTTCTTTCTGTTTTCTTTTGTGCTCTATGATGAGGAAATAGTATTCATTTTCTAAGTTTGTTGTGAGGATTAAATAAATTTATTCGTATGCTGCATTCATACTGAGGACAGTACTTGTTAGGAATGATTGATACAACATCTGAATTTCATTTGGTCACTTTTGAACGTATACTTTCTTATGTTTTTAGTATGAACTATTTTAACGAAATGTAGTAGTATGAATGCTTTTGTTTAATACTATGCTTTTGCTGTATTTGTGCTGAATTAACTAGTGTAGCCGTTGAACTGTTGAACACAACTGAAAACCCTATTCTGTTCTTGCAGTGAGTGAGTGAGATGAACCCACATTTTTTCTGCTACCTTATTATGAATGTGATTTGGTATTTTAAAATCATTTTGAAGGTTTTGTGTGTATGTGTTTTGCATAGATGGTCTTAAACCTGGAGGAATAATGCTAAATGTGGAGTTTAAATTAAAACAGGAAGTTTTAAAGGTCACTTGGAAGTTAAAATACATCATGATAAAAATGTTACAAATAAAAACAATGCAGTAAGGAAATAAGGGTCTGAAGATATGTAACTAGGTATGGTTAGTTATTTAGTTGTTGGTGAGGTGTTGTTGGACAAATAAATATGTCTTCTGTGTTGGCAGATTTTGACTTTAATTTTTAGGATTCATCTTTTATAAGGGGTGATTGATAATCGTAAAACGTTTCTTGTTCTAGATTCTCCAAGTACCTCTATAGTTCTTGAACAATTGAATGAGGCTGTTAGACCTCTCCAGGACTATGGAATTTCAGTTGCAAAGGTAAAAAGTTACTTATGTTAGTAAAATATTAGTGACAAACATTTTACAATTGTATGACTTAAGACTGAGTACTTAAAAATACTTCAGTTTCATTTTAAAAACTGGAACAGTATTTTTTCTTCCTTTTTTTGCATAAGACTGGAGAGAAACACAGTTTCAGATTGTATCACATAGTACATACAGAGGGGGAAAAACCTATTTAAAATTCATTTTTTTTCTTTCTTTTTGTTTCTTAGTGGTACTGGGGTTGAACTAACTAAGAACTTTCACATACAATTAGATCCCAGCCCTTTTTATTTGTTTACTTTTTAAAATTTTGAGACAGGGTTTTATTAAGTTGCTAAGTTGTCCAGGTTGGACTTCCTCCTGCCTCAGCCTCCCAGAGTACTGAAATTACAGGCACATGCCACCATACCTGACTTGTTAAAAATTCCCTAGCTTAGGGGCTGGGGATTTAGCTCAGCGGCAAAAGCGCCTGCCTGGCAAGCACAAGGTCGTGAGTTTGGTTCTTGGTACCGGAGAAAAACCCCCCCAAAAAAAATTCCCTAGCTTAGAATTTCACTCTTTTATAAACCATTCTATTTGGGCATAGTGTCATTTTTCAGACTTAATAATTAGGCTTTGGTTCTATTTTGTTCTGCTTGACAAATATTTCCTAGTAGGTAGTTACAATTCAACTATTTATTAAATTTCTATTAAGACAAACTGAGGCAACAAAATTAATATAATTGAAGAATGTTTTCTAAATTGTTATAGTTGTTTGCATTGCAGCTTCTCACATTTATTTTTAGAACAAAATTAAAACAATTCAATTAAAAAAAATTTTTTTTTTTGGTACCAGTAATTGAACTTAGGACCTTGCGCTGTGCTGCTGAGCTATGTCCCCTGCCTGAACAATTTAATTTGAAAGTACATACCTAATTTTTTCTCAGAAAGTTACAAATGACAATAGAGTATTATGTAAAAGTTTCACATGCTTCTCGGTTAGATAGCTGCATAAGTCTTTTATTTAATTTAAATGTATAATTTGTACATCAGAAACTGAATGGGAAGCAAGCCAGTAATATTAAATTCCTTCAGATTAAGTCTGCTTTTCTTGTATGTTTATTTTTTCTTAAATCATTGGTCTGCCTTCTCTGGAGATGTTTGTTGTCCTTCTTAATATCTGTAGCTTGATCTTTTAAAGTAGGACACATATAAAGGCTAATTAACTTTGGCCATATATCCTATCAAACACACACGAAAAAAACCCTTATTTTTTATGTGTCAATTCTGTATGTGTAAGAGTCTCAGTTAATATTTCAGCAAATGAACCTCTCTAGGATGATAATGGTACTCGTCTCCAGGAGCTTTGAATAAAATTTTAACTGAGATTTACAAATGAAATAGTAAATTGATATAAAGTTCAGAGGGATAATCATTTCTGTTTATTTAGGAACTAGTAGATTAGTACCCAGTACTGTCTGTCTGGTAACAAGTGGAATAGACTACACTGAGTTTTTTTTTTTTTGTACTGGGAATCAAACTCAGGACCTTGTGCTTGACAGGCAAGCACTTGTGCTGCTGAGCTATATCCCCAGCCCTAACAAGTGGAATAGAATATTAGGGTTTGTGCCTAGGCCATTGCCTTTATTAACTAACATCATTTAACCTCTTGCTTTCACGATCCAGAATGTGGAGCAATCTGGAAAGCAGAAATGACCAATAAAAGGAGCCCATGCTGCAGAGCTAATTCAGTCATTGACATGTGGTGAATACTCTAAGCATTTGAGATTGAAATGAGCTTACCATATCATAAGTAAGGAGAATAAAACACATTCACAAATTATGTCAGTAACCAGTAAAATCTGGTACCTATAATAAGAGAGATAGAAATAAAGTGCTAGAAGTCAAAAGGAAAGAAAGCCTATGTCTGATTATTGGAGTAGAAAGGCCCAGATGGTGCTGGGGAAGACTTCACAGAGAAGAGCATTTGAAAACGTTTTCAGAAGTTAAGACTGCCAGAGGCAGAAGTGGATGAAGAAAACAGTAATATAAATGGACTGAATGTTCCAGTTAAGACAAAGACTGTCAAGCTGGAGACAATAATGAAATCCAACTGTATGCTATTTAGAAATATCTAAAATAAAACATCAGAAATCTTCAAAATAGATGAAGGAAAAAGAAATATGCAAATGATAACCAAGAAAAATCTGGTGTAGCAGTGTTACTGTGTCAAAGTCTAGTTTATTTTATTTTAAAGAGAGAAAGGTTAAAAAAAGAAAAACAATGATACAGAGTTTCAAAACAGGGTAATAAGAAATTAACATTGGTTAATGTATTGCATATTGTTGTCTTCAGAGTAGTTGTTCAGATTACAAGATGTAGACATGCAAAATTAACCAATATAAGCACAAACCGATCTTTTCAATGGACTAAAATAAATTAGTAGTATAATTATGTTAGCTATCTTGTATATGTATATATATTTTTTCTTTTCCCTTCCTTTTCTTTTTTTTTTGGTATCAGGAATTGAACTCAGGCCTTTGCTCTTACCAGGCAGGTGCTTGTGCCGCTGAGCTATATCCCCAACCCATCCCTTCCTTCTTTTCAAAATCTATTTTTTTCTTTTTTTTTTACCAATAGTGTATGTCCAAAATTTATTGGTATTGAAGGAATGCTGTGCCAAACATTCCACATTGTTTCTTCTGTAGATGTACGTTTTCTTACAATTTTCTAGATTATCTAGCTAGAGAAAGTAACAGAGGCACAGAAGAGTTACCTACCTGTGTCAAATATCCATTAATACACGATTTGACATCCCCTTGGCGAGACATCTGACTGTTTCAGTTTATTTTAAGTTACTTGGCATCTTATAGCTGTGAAAGAAGAATCCTATAACAGAGACCAAGAGTGGAACTAAATGACAACGAAGAATTTCTGCCCACATTACATTTTTATGTTATTTTTTTAAAGGAGAGAGAAAAAAACAAACACAAAAGCAAAAATAAAACAACAAAACAAAAATGATACTGAAGTTCAAAACAAGGTGATAGGAAATTAACAATAGTTGTTGTAATACAGATTGTTATCTTCAAGGTAGTTGCTAAGCTCACCAGACACACGCATGCAAGATTGATCAAACAATTAAATATTAGCTGTTCTTTTCAATAATCCCAATAGAAATCAGTGGTACAATTACCCCAGCTATCTGGTGTGTGTGTGTGTGTGTGTATGTGTGTGTGTGTGTGTGTGTATTTCCCCTGCCTCTTTTCTCCTTTCCCCCCATTCCAGCTGTTTCTTCCCTTTTTTGGAGGGGGTACTAGGAATTGAACTCAGGACCTTGAGCTTGCCAGGCAGGCGCTTGTGCTGCTGAGCTATATCCCCAGCCCTGTTCCTTCCTTTCTTTTAAGAAAAGGTAAATATAACAATGAAAACGAGTTTCAAAACAGGCTACTAGGACAGCTACAATAGCTGATACACTGTGTATCATTGTCTTCCTAGCAGCTATTCAGAGTAGAAGATACAGGCAAGATATCTTGTCTATATAATATTAGAACAAAACTTTCTTTTTAATGAACTAAGAGAAAGTAACTGTATAGCAGTCTTAACTATCTTGTATATACATATATTTTTTCCTTTTTTCTTCTCTTCATTTCACCTTTCCCCAACACAGTTTGTCTTTTCTTTTGAACAGTTTCTTCCCAACTCGTAATATCTATTGTATATTTCAGATCTTATTTACTTGGTTTTTTTTTTCACATTAGTGAGACAATATGATGTTTACCCATATGGGTCTGATTTATTTCACTTATGGGTATGTTCTTGAGTTGCATCCATTTACCTTTGTCTCCATTTTATCCTTTTTAAGGACTGAGTAGTATTCCATTATGTAAAAAAAAAACCCCACATCTTTGTTATCCATCTTCAGTTGATGGACATCTGGGTTGTTTCCAAGATTTAGCTATGACAAATTGTGCTGCTATAAACGTGGGTGCACATCTATCACTGTGGTATGATGATTTTAATTCTGGGAAGATACCCAGAAGGGCAATAGCTGGGTGGAATGGGATCTGCAATCCCAGCTTTTTGAGGAATCTCCACACTGATTTCCACAGTGGTGGTACCAGTCTACACTCCCACCAGTAGTGGAGAAGGGTTTCTTTTCCTCCACAGCCCTGCTAGCATTTGTTGTCAGTTGATTTTTTGATGATAGCCATTCTTTCTGTGGGGAGATGGAAGCTCAGTGCTGTTTTAATTTGCACTTCTTGAATGACTAATGATGTTGAACATTTTTTCATGTATTTATTTTCCATTTGTATTTCTTCATCTGAGAAGTGCCTGTTTATCTCCAATGCCCTCAAAATCTATTTAAAAACACAAAACCATTCAGTCATCCTGGACCTTTCTTTCTCTCATAACCAGCCCATCTACTACGAGGTTCTACCCTCAAAACTTTTCAAATCTCCTGTGCCTTCAGGTTTTCCTCTCGTTGTCATCACTTCTCATCTAGGATACCACAGGAATCTCGAACTTATTGGCCTTTCTCCCTTCACTCTTGTCCCATTACTGATCCCTCTCTGTGTCCATCAGGACAGATTCCACCCTGCCCAGGCTTCCTGTTACACTTGTGATAAAATTGAAACTCTCGAGTGCTGCAGATCGGCCTTGTGTCTGATCTCATTTTCTGTCCCTCTGCCTTGCGTAGTTTGTTCCTGACACACAGTGATGATTCTGTTACTTTTCCCCCCCTCCAGTATGGGGGCATCAAATCCCAGGGCATTATACCGCTGAATTAATCTCAGCCTTTTAAAAACAAATTTTTGAGCCAGTGTCTTGGTAAGTTGCCCAAGTGAGAGTCAAACTTGCAGTCCTCCTGCCTCAGCCTCTTGAGGCTGGAATTACAGGCTTGCGCCACTGTGCCCAGCTATTCTTCTGCTACTTGAATCTGCTAGGGGTACTATTACGACACGGCCTTTGCAGGTGTTTTCTCCTCTGCTTAGAACTCATCTCTTCTACCTGTTTATATATTTGTATATATTGCTTTACTAATTTCTTTATTACTTTTTATTTATAGCTCTTAATGTATATTAATTAGCTTTTAAATTGTCTCTACTTTGAGAATGTAAATTAAAGGGTAAAGATCTTAATTTGGTACCTAACTGTACTCCCCGTGACTAGCACAGTGAATGACATATGGTAGGTGTTGAAGTAAATGTTGAAAAGAGGAACGAATGGATAGATCTGTTGTCATAATGTGAGCCATCTCTGATCTGGGCTTTAAAAAGGTTTAAAACTATGTACACCAAAGTTCCTGGTTATGCCTATAACCTGACTTTTAATTCTAATTCACTATTCCTAGTGTCTTCCCTGTCAGTTCCTCTTTTTTTTTTTTTTTTTTTTTTTAGCTTTTTGAACAAATGTCACTTCCTCCTTGGCATTCTGTTTCCTCAAGCTCTATTAAAATTAAATTGAACAACAGAAACCTTCATTGTAAACCAGGAACCTTACCAAATCTGAAATCGAAGAACTGTTCTCCTTGCCTTAATTTTTGTTAATTACGTTGGTGGTCACCTGTTCACGCCATCTAGAAAACCCTTCATTCTTTTCTTTCCTTCCTTTCCCTGTCTGTCTCAGGATGCATATTCATGCTCAGGCCTTCTACTTAGTTTTAGTTACTCCGTTTGGGAAGACTCGAGTGTCTTTTGTGCTCTTTGACTTTACCTTAGGTCCTTGCCCTGTCCTGTGTGTGTGTGCTCCTTCCCCTCCCATTTTATCTTCATTTGCTGCTAGGATTGGCCTTATATTTCTTCACGTGAAGTCCACACTGTGAGCTACCCAGGGGTGGGTGGCTGCTCTGACATCATCAGGGACTCAGAGTCATTCTCTTGTCGCGTCCTTAGCAAGTGGTTTCCTCCATGAGTCCACTGGTACCCTGGCTGTCTTGTCTGCTTTTTGTCAACTGATGAAGAGGAGAACAGCAATCAGTCCCCTGTCGAGAGCCTTCTAGGGATTCCAGCACCTTCTTTGGCTCTCGCCAGCTGTTGGGGTGGCTGGAAAAACCTCTTCATGGGGCATTTGGTTTTAGCAAATTCCTGTTAGTAAACAAAAGTAGAAGATGGATAGATTTGGTGTAGAAACTAGCAGGGTCTGCCGTATCCGTGTTCAGCTGCTGAGATGCTTTCAGGATTGCAGCTCACCACCCTCTGTTTACGCTTCCTGCCCTCCATTTTTGTGCTGAGGTTGATCCCTGGGCCTTACACTTGCTGAGTACTTGCTGTACCACTGAGCTCCACCCTCCTCTGCTTCCTGGCTTTTCCATATGCTTTTATACTTTCCTTTCTACCTGGTTACTCTCTTACCTGTTCTGAAAGATGGAATTAATTATAAACTCTTCGGTATAATTCAGTATAACTCCCCAGATGCAGAAACAGTTCCCCTCCCTTACTGCATTTCCTCTCGCACCTGAGTAAGAGAAGTTATTGTATACAAAGCTGAAAAAAGTAAAATACAAAGTTTGACCTGGTGAAAAGCCATAATGTTTAATTCTCCTTATTTCCCTAACCAAGAAACTTGACCTTTGGGTGTATCCTCTAAACCTTAAATATAATCTTTTAAAGGTTAATTGTGCCAAAGAAGAAACATCCAGGTACTGTGGTAAAGAAAAGGATTTGATGAAAGCATATTTATTCAGGTAAATTTTTTTGAATGTGATGTACAAATATAAAGTTATATTCTAGAATGTTATATCAAATATCGCCAAGCTGGAGTATTTAGTGGGGATTATCTGAAGTTTAGCAGAAAGCCCAGGCAGTATCCTTGCTGCCTAACCTCTCTGAATTTTAACTTCCTTGCTTACCAAAATATGAAGAATAAAACCTCCGTCCCAGGGTCATTTTAAATATTACGTGAGAATCTTACATACATCCCTGCTACAAGGGCGTGGTTAAGCACCACTTAGAAATTTCCATGTTCCAGGTAGCTGTGTCCGTTCTGTGTTTGGATGTACTTTACTTTTGAGGAATCTGTCCGGGTCTAGGTTGCAGATGCTTTTCTACCTGGGTCTTTTAGTCTATTTGGGGCATCTTGTATCCTTTCCTCAAACCTTTGGGGTTCGGCCTAGGAAGTGGGGAGAGACTCTGGTTGCTCCGGGAACTCCTGCTAAGGACACTTCTTTCTCCTGCTATTCTCCTTCCCAGCCCAGTTTGGAAAGCTGCATGTGATCAAAAGTAGTCAGGGAGCCTTATTTCGATTCATACTTATTTCTAGCCTTTTTTGTCAGATCCAGGGCCTAAGTTTTTCAAAATCAACCTATTTAAGTGTATATTGAATAAACATTTGAGGGTGCATTATGTGTCAGCTCTCTAGTGGGTGCATAGGGTACATGGGTATAGCGCAAGCTCTAACATCAGAGAACTTACAAGTTAATGTGTTAGAAAAGCAAGTAATTGAATTGTAAGGAAATATTTCTATAATGTGTTTTTAAACTTTTTATAGAGGCAGCATATTGCTCAGAGAGTTCCCCGCTGACACCTTGTTTGATGTCAATGCCATCGTCGCTCACGTCCTCTTGTAAGTACGGGGGTACTCATTTACTCAGTCGTTGTTGATTTTGTTTTAGAGGACCACAATCCATTACAGTATTTTAAGATTTTAACACTGTATTTGTAGGCATCAGTTCCATACAAATTGCTGATGTATCTTCCCACATTGAAGGTCTAAAATTTGTTTAATGCCAGAGGATACAAGAACACATAGATACTCTGTAAAAAAATAGGAGATGACTCAACAAAACTATATAGTTGTAGCGGGGTGTGGTGGTGCACGCCTGTAATCCCAGCACTCGGGAGGCTGAGGCAGGAGGATCGTTGCAAATTTGAGACCAGCCTGGGCTACAAAGTGAGCTCAGGGCAAGCCTGAACTGCATAGCTAGACCCTGTTTCAAAAAGACTGAAAAAAAAAAAAAGACTATATAGTTGTAGAATTGCCTTTGCTTCTACCAATGGAGTGAAGATTTACCACCTATCTTAGTCTGTTTGGACTGCTATAGTAAAGTACCATAGACTGGGTGGCTTGTAAACAATGGGAATTTGTTTTTCACAGTTCTGGAGGCTGAGAAGTCCAAGGTCAGGTATTGACAGGTTTGGTGCCAGATGAGGGGCCCTGCTTCATAGTACAAGGCCATCTTCTCCCTGGGTCCTCACATGGTAGAAAGACCTGGATCTCTGCAACTCTTTTATAAGGGTAGTAGTCTCATGACTGATCACTTCCTGAGGGTCCCACCTCCCAGTACCATCATTTTGAAGGAGTTATGGTTTGTGTCTGTGTGTTCCCCCAAAGCCTCATGCGGTCATGGGGCGGGCTTTTAGAGTTTGATTAATTATGGATGTGAGAGCTACACCCACCCTAGGGTGATAGTTTGCATATGTAAAGGAGAGGAAGAGGCTGCTTGCCCCCATTCCTCCCTTTTAGTGTTTGTTGCTTTTGCTGTGTTCTGCTGCCAAGAGCTGTAGTCTTCTGCCATGGGCTACTCTGCCTTGTAACCTGCCAAGTATGGACTAAAACCTTCACAAACTGTAAGTGAAATAAACCTTTCCTTCCATAATTTTGGGCATCAGGTATTTTGTCCCAGCAACGAGAGAAAAGTAACCAAGACAGAGGGTTAGGATTTGAAAATAGGAATTTAGGAGGACACACACATACCACAGAACCCGGTAAGAAGCTCATCTTTGCTATTTACATGAGGATTTTAAAAGTGCTTGGTTTCCCTCTGACACCAGCCAGATTTTCCTGGAGTCTGTAGCTCTGTGCCTTCTTGGTGAGTATGGAAAAAGTTCTTGAGGCATACACTTGTTTTTTTTTTTTTACTGAGAGGGAATCTCACATTCCCCTGGTATGGAATCTTTAAGTCCAGGATTCAGGCTTGTGCGAGCTCTGTTTTGCAGTCTACCTCTGAAATGAAGTCTGGTGTTCTCTTTGATGGCAGTGCCAGACAGTATGACTTCTTGAGGACACAGGTTTCCTGATTGAATGTCGTGGGTCTGTTGTCCACTGACACCTTTGCTGACACTGACTGCCTTTTTTCTCTGTTTGGGTTCACACTTCCTTCTCCTCTCTTACCCATAAAACTGGAGTGAAAATTAAATTACAGGAAATTCAAAACTTACAGGTAAAAAGTTGTGGTGATCACTTTACAAATGGACACCTTTAAATGTTCCAGTCCTAGTAATATATTATCGAAAGGCCTTTAGGAATTCGTGGAAGCCATGGGCCCTGAGACCTACAGACTGAGAAGCCAGTTGTACTGGGTAGTTGGTAGCTTTTTGAAGAAGTGACTCTGAAGGGCCATTAGGCTGCTTTGAAATGGCTTTCCTAGTACAGAGAAGGGGTGGCTCCCTTGGCCATAGCGGTCAAAGGAAGCTTGGCAAAAAGCCCAAGTAATAACTGTGTTATTTGTTCTCAGGAACTTTATTGGTTTTGCTGTTTTTTCCAGTAGATATTTGATAACTTTCTCTGACCCAGAAGTGAGGGTGAAAAACATGGAATGAAGACTTTGAGGGGTGGCGCATACTGAGATTTCTTCCCATCAAGTATGAACCCAGGTCTGACACCAAATCCTGGAGTGCCAGGTCCACCTCGGACAACTTCATGAGCAGGCAGCTTTAAACAGCTGGACCCTAGACAGGAAAGGTTGTCAGTGGTGAGGAGGACCCTGGTACCTGCGCTGGTTAGCAGATGGGGTTGGTCACATTCATTCCTGCTGTGGACGTGGTCTGGTTCTAGTGTGTACTAATGCTGATTTGTAGAACACGGGTTTCCACAGGCAGATTGTGCCCCATGTTCCTGCTGCGTGTCAGACCCTTGTGAGGCGTTGGGGACACACAACAGAACAGGATGTGGCGTCTGTTCTGTAGGAGTGTAGTGTTCTTTTGCAGAGATAGACATAAAAGATAGTATATGGTATGTAAAGTAGTAGAGATATGTATTCATAACGGCCAGTGGATCCACCGAGAAAGTAGTTACTCACGTCTGGAAGGAAGGTGGCTTCCTGAGGGAGGTGGGCAGTTGGGTAGGTCTCAGGGTAAGTGTTTGACAAAGAAGGAGAAGGTAGGAAAAGAGGGGAAACTGACAAGAGCATGGAAGTTGGAAATAGTTTGGAGAGGGAAGTTTTGCCTGAGTGTAAAATGTGCAGTAGCAAAGGAGGATAGTGAAGAAAGCATGGGGTCAAGTGAGCGGGCATCTCTGTTTACCCTCTGTAGAGCGGTGAGCTTTTGGGGAACTACAGAAGGGGAAAATGTCTATTTCCAGAGCAAAATCCTTAGGTGGTCTTTCCATCCTGATCATAGGCAGTAACAAGCTTTGCCTAGCAGGCCTTAGCAGGGGAGCTGTTCTCAGGAGATAACTGAGGTCAAGGGCATGGCCCTCCTGTCTCTTAGGTGCTTCTGCTAAGAACTTGCTGGAAGCGCTCTCCGGTGGTCTTGGGTGGTTTCTGAGTCAGTTACTTTCCATTCCAAGCCCCTACTCTACTTTTCCCCACAGTGTCCGTGGGTTCTTACAGGGGTCTTACACTTGGGACTCCTTGGAATGAGGTGGTTCCTTGTGTGCATTGCGTCTACCTGGCCCTTGTCCACTGCCATTCCACGGGATGAAAAATGGAGCAGTGTGGAGTCGGTACCTCTCTGTGTCTTGTTTGCACGGTCACATAAGTGAGTACTAGCCAGCGATCTAACCCAGGACCTCTTTCGTGCTCTACTACACCCAGCGCTGAATAAAGTGTCGGTTGTTACTTACAGTTTGGCTTGTGGTGGTCCTGATTGACCTCTTCAGACCCTGATTGCTTGACCGAGAGTTGTAGCTGGGTGAGTGTTCCGATCAGATTAGGACCTGAGAGATCTTTCTGGTGTATGGGAGACAGATTTAGGGACCCAGGCACATGTAAAACTGCTGTGTGGCTGTTGGATAATCCAGGAGGTGGAGGTCTTTTGCCCATTTTTTTCTGTTGAGTTTTAAATTTTGTTATTATTCATTTCTAGGCATTCTTTTTACATAGGAGAAACAAAATTTCTCCTAAATTTCCCTAATGTGTCTTTTTAAAAACAGTGCTCAAATTAATCTTCTTTGACTTCAGTTTTAGTTGTACACGTACAGTGGTATCCCTTATGCCTTTGTTACAAAGAGATTTAATTTGTGCGGTTTTTAATTGGTAGACTTATTGAGAGCACTTCTAGATTTACAGAAAATTATAAAATTTATTGGAGCACATAGTACAGAGAATTCCAATGTTTCCTTTCACCTTCATGCGTGGTTTTCTCTGTTAACATCAATGTGGTACAGTTGTTAAAACTGAAGAACAGCCAGACATGGTGGCGCATGCCTGTTATCCTAGCCCCCGGGAGGCTGAGGCAGGTGGCTCACTGTGAGTTCGAGGCTAGACTGAGTTACATAGTGAGTTTAAGGCCAGCCTGAACTACATATGAGACCCTGTTTCAAAACACAAAACAAAACAAAAAAAAAATTAAAGAACAAATATCAACATATTATTTTTAAGTACAATGTGTAGTGGAATTCACTTTTTGCGCTTTCTATTCTGTATGTTTTGACGAATGCACCGTGTTGTTGCCAGCAGTAGAGAATCATATAGTTTCCTTGCTCCAGAAATCCCTTCTCTTCCCCTCAAACCACTGACGCTGTCACCCTCTCTGTAGTATTGCCTATTATACTTTTCATATGGTGGAATTATACAGCATACATAGCCTTTTCAGATCTTGCTTAGCCGTATGTAAAAGACTCTGTGTCTTTTCGTGGTTCATAGCTTATTTCTTTTTGTCACTGAATAATCCTTTGTGTGGATGTACCAGTGTTTATCCATTTATCTCCTGAATACCTTGGTTGCTTCCAAGGTTTGACAGTTATGAATAAACCTACTATAAATAATCTCATGTAGGTTTTTTTTGTGTGGGTGTAAGTTTTCAATTCCCTTGGGTAATTATGCAGGGGTAAGGTTGGTGGATTATGTAGTAAGACTATGTTTAGTTTTATAGGAAACTGCCAAACTGCCTTGCAAAGCGGCTGTGCCATCCTGCATTCCTACCAGCAATGAGAGTACCTATTCCTCCACTTCCTTGCCAGGGTTTGATGTCATCTTTTGAAAAACTGTTTTTAAATTTTTTAACCATCCTAATAGGTGTGTCGTGGTACCTCTTGATGTTGAACATCTTTTCATATGCTGATTTTCCATCTGCATGTTTTTTGGTGGAATGTCTGTTCAGGTAATTTGCCTAATTTTTTAAAAATTGAGTTTTTTTTTTCTTGTTGAATTTTTAAGGTTGTTTTGTACATTTTGGATACAGGTCTTTTGTTAGGTACATGTTTCACAGCGATTTTCTTCCAGACTCTGCCCTGTTTTTTTTCATTCTCTTAATAATTTCTTTTGCAGAGCAGAGGTTTTTGATAATGAAGTTTTCTTTTACAGATAGTGCTTTTGATGTTGTTTCTTAAAAGTCATTACAATCCAAGGTCCCTGAGATCTTTATCTTTTTTTTATTTTTTATTTTTTTTTTTTATTTTAAGGA